TATTTAATGCTGAATTCCATTAGGAGAAACAATGTCTTATATTTCCTATCTTTTACTTGAATAATTAAATTTAGTAATATACTTTGTCTCTCATTAAGACTTTCTTGAATCAGAAGAACTGAATTCTGTTATTCCTGGCATCCTAGAAATGTAGGCTTTTCTGTTTGTTTCAAAATATAAAGTTTCTTTAAAATCACAATTATCTTAGTTTCATTTTGTATTAAGAAATCTAGTATCTTTTGGGATAGGCTTTTGCAAGTAACAGCCAGATGACACCTATTTGCACATGCTCTCTTTCTGTTTACTTAAATTAACTGTGATGTTGAGAAGTTAGGATTATTATCAAGAAACAATTATACGATTCTTTTAGCCCAGTGATAATGAAAGGAAAGGGAAAATAGGGACAAAGGAAAATTTTTTAAACTAATTCAGTATGGAATCTTGGAATAAGTTATCAAAGTCTGAGTTGACACTGTAACAATAAATTGTTGAAATATAATAATGGATATACACTAATTCGTATATATGAGATATTTGACTATTTGTTCCTTCTAAATTAGAAAAGAGTTTTAAAGGATTCCCAAATGTTGTAGTGTGTGTTAACAATAAAATTCTTGAGTCAAAATACCAGTAAGTTCTAGAAAAGTATGGGGGGGGGTGGAGAATGAAGTAGGGAGGGAGGGAGAGAGAGAGAAAGAGAAAGAGAGAGAGAGTAAGGTGGAAGAGGAGGAGGATGGAGGATTGGGGAAGGGAGGTGAATTTGAGAGAAAGAGGCATTAAATGACACTTGGCCGATGTCCAGAGCAGCCATTTCTCACTCTAGCTTTTATCATGAAATCCCACGCTGAGAGTAAATAGTGCTTGACTGCTGCATCTCAGAAATAGTGAAGGACTTTGAATCAGTCACTCTTAAGGAAGACATGCCGATCCTGGGAGAAGTCCCAGACCATGTAAGAAGGGCCTGTATATCTGTTCATCTGTCAGCACATATTTCTCGTGTCTGTCTTTCTGTCCAGAACAATGTTGCCCCTACTTGCCTGTTGTGTCTTAGCTGTTTTTATTGCTATGTAAATATTTCCAAATTTGGACTATTTCCACTGCAATCATGTCATCTTTAAGAAATTTGAGCATGCTAAGGGTACATGTTATCTGGAGTTGTGATGAGCTGATTCATGACCGGATGCTAGTTAGCCAAAGATAGAAGCAATTTTTATGCTATTAATCACGTTTCCCGAAAACTGTGTAGTAGTTTTCGAAAAAGGAAAATTACATCCCTTGCTGTCATCTCAATGTTTAAAGAGTGCTTCATGCTTCTTAGAGGAAGGCATTGCGTGCTTTAAGAACGAGGTAGAAAATTAATCAGTCCATGGTTTTCTGGAACTTGGAAGTAGATGTTGCCTGTGCAATCTGAAGTGAAATGAGTTGACATTAGTAGGGAGACCCAGGTAAGATTTGAATATTTTTAAAGATATCTGTATTTTTCATCTGAGAGAGAGAGAGAGAGAGAGAGAGAGAGAGAGAGAGAGAAAGCAGGAGAAATTATCTTCAATTTACTGATTCACTCACCAAATTGATGAAGCTGAAGCCGGGAATCAAGAACTCAATCCTGGTGTCTCATGTGAGTGGTAGGGTTCCACCTAATTGGCTTATCACCTGCTGCCTCTTAGGGTACCCATTAGCAGGAAGTTGTTATCAAAAATGGAGCCAAGACTCAAACCTATGCTCTTCAATATGCAATACAGACATCCCAAGTACAAAATGCCCAACCCAGATTTGAGTATTTTTTGAATTAGTAATCTCATTCATTATGCATTTTATCTTATACAGTACACTAGGAATTAGGAGGAAAAGACTGTCCTGCATGTTGAAATCTGTGAGCTAGACATAGAAAGGCTCTGAGCTGTGTCAATGAGACTCAATCTCTGATTGAAGTCATGTCAATCTTGACAAGTTAATTTGACATCGTTTAGTTATCATTTGTGAAGTGGGAACATGAATTATATTCATTGAGGAGCTATTTATGGGATGTTCATTATGAGGCACAAAGTATGTTTGGCATTGAAGATTGAAAAATAAATAAGATAAAGTTACACGCTTTGGGAGTATAGAGAATAAATGAAGATAAACAGACTTCTAACTCACAGACAAGGCAAAGGACAGCTGTGGGGTCCAGTCTAGATTCTTCCAGTAGCTGAGTGACAGTGGACGAAGCATGTTGCTTACCTTATGTAAAAATGGGCTGAGAATGACACTAGTTCTTTGAGAAGGTTTTCACTGAAATCAAGTAAAATAGAATAACAATGTCTTATAAATAGCAAAGCACAAACATATGGGAATTGTTTTATGAAGGAAATATGGAATAGTATAATGGGTATGGGTTTGAGGGTCACTACAGTTCAAATTTCTTCCCTAACACTTAAAAGTTATATGACACTGAATTACTATGAAGATGAAATAAGCAATTCATTCACTCATCCATTCATTTACTCATCCATCTATTCAGCAAAGTTGTTAAGTATGGATTATGTGCTAGACACTGCTCTAGTGCTGATCTTGGAACTCTTTCTACAAAAGACCAGATGGTAAATATATTAGGGTTTGTAGGCTATCTGTCTCTGTTGCATCTACTCAACCTTGCTTTGCAATGTGAATGAAGTTATATAGAATTTAGAAACCAGTAGGTTGGATGTGTTCTAAAACCTCTTTTTGTACAGAAGCAGATGGTGGAATGGATTTGAGCTGTGGGCTACTGTTTGCTTACCCTTGCTTATTATAAATATTAGTCATGTGTCTTAATTTTAAAGCAATCTTATTTTAGTAGGCAAGATAGTCAAAACACAAGTAAACAAAAAGGAGTCAGATAACTGCAGATATTCTTTCTCTTAATTTACTATGCAAAGAACTTATGCCTTCCATAAGTATGGAAGTACATAGTATGGAGTGGCAGTTTGGTGAATGGCTATTGAATCCATTTAAGCAGAAATAGTTTCTGCTTGTTCTATAATCGTTGCACCTGTGTTTTCTTCAGCATTGAATACGTGGTTGACAATCAACAAAAGACACTGGATGAATTTGTAAATTCTCATTTTTCAATTGTTTATCAACAAGATTCCATGAGCAGAGATACTGTTACATGTGCATTTCATGGGGGCCATTTAATGTTGTCTAAACTTCTGAAGGAGGAAGCTGTTATCCACTGGTTTAAAAGTGAGTCTAACTGTGCATTAGTTCTAGGATTTTGGGGACAAAGTAAGGGTAGCAACACCAGAGAGGTGTCCTCAGTAGCTATTGTGAAGGCTCAAAATGTCTTATCAGAGAGGCAAAGAAGCATGTCCATGCCTTTGTTCCAGTATGCACAGAAGTCAGTATAAAAGGAAAAAGTATAAAAGGAGCTAATGTTATTTTTTCCTTTTCTGTTTGTTTAAATAAAGTCTATTCATTTTTCCTTAAAGATTTATTTATTTATTTAAAGTCAGAGTTAGAGAGATCTAGAGAGAGAGAGAGAATCTTCCATCTGCTGATTCACTCCTAAGTAGCCACAGCAGCCAGAGCTGAGCCACGCTAAAACTGGGAGAATAGGAGCTAGGAGCTTTATCCTGATCTCTCACATTGATGCCAGGGCCCCAAGCACTAAGGCCTTTTTCCGCTGCTTTTCTCAGGCCATTAACAGGGAGCTGGATTGGAAGTAGAGCAGCTGGGAAACAAATTGGTGCTCATATGGGATGCCGGTGTTGCAGGCAGAGTCTTTACCCACTATTTCACCCATTGGCCCCTAAAATTAATTTTAATTTTAATTTTATAAAGATTTATTTTACTTATTTGAAAGGCAGAGTTAAAGAGAGAGGGAGAGACAGATCTGCCATCTACTGGTTTACTCCCCAAATGGCTACAATGGCCAGGGCTAGGGCCAGACTGATGCCAGGAGCTAGGAGCTTCTTCCAGGTCTAGGTGGGTGCAGGGGCCGAGTAACTTGGGCCATCTTTTGCTGCTTTCCAAGGTGTGTTAGGGAGCTAGGTTGGAAGTGGAGCTTCCAGGATGCAAACCAGCACCCATAGGACATGCCGGCATCCCAGGAGGAGGCTTTACCGGCAACATCACAAAGCTGGCCCCTAAAATTAATTTTTCAATGTACAGTTGTAGCAGGTCTGCTTTCGAGCACTCTATTGGTTTGAAAGTTGTAGGAATAAGAAAACTTTATTTTGTGACTGTTGTATTTTCTGATTGTGTTGGGTCTCACGTGACTGTACCATCTGGCCCTTTCTGTGTCCTTGCTCTCTCTTCAGAGTACATGGGGCACAGGAACAGCCTTAGTCTGCCACTGTCACCCTAGAACATCATATGGACCGAAGCAGATGAAGAATGCCTTGATGGATCAATAAAGTTATAAAAAATGCTGAGTTCTACAAGAGTATAGAAAAAGGCTAGAAACAATAATTAAGTAATGTCAGTTCCATTCTCGTACACTTTTTTTTTGTAATTTTTAATAACTACCACATATCAGAGAAAATATACAACATTTGTCTTTCGGGGACTGGCTTATTTTGCTACCTACTTGTTGAACATTATGCTTAGAGGTACATTAAGCCTGTGATCATAAAGTAAATTTAAATTATGTAATTGCAAAAATCAAAGAAAAAAAGAAAGGAATGAAAGGGGACTGTGGGAGGGAGGGGTGAGGGAGAGAAGCATGGTTATCTTTTTAGAATTGTATCTATGAAGTAACATGAAATCCATTCTATTTGTGTTGATAGCAATTTAAAAATAAAAAACCAAAAAGATAAAAAAAATGCTGAGTTAAAAGTTCAAAACTTTCCTCTGCAGATAGACAGTCTCCTAGAAATGCTCTTTTGGAGAGGTTGATGATTACACTGATTTTGAGGTTTGGGAATTAGGACATATTTTAAAATGGTGGAATTAATATCAACTTGAAAGTAAATGACTAGATTGTTTTCAATTTTTATAGATAGTATTTTTAATTCAACCCATGCTATATCTTTTTTTTTTTTTTTTGACAGGCAGAGTGGACAGTGAGAGAGAGAGACAGAGAGAAAGGTCTTCCTTTGCCGTTGGTTCACCCTCCAATGGCCGCTGCAGCCGGCGCACCGCGCTGATCCGATGGCAGGAGCCAGGTGCTTCTCCAGGTCTCCCATGGGGTGCAGGGCCCAAGGACTTGGGCCATCCTCCACTGCACTCCCTGGCCACAGCAGAGAGCTGGCCTGGAAGAGGGGCAACTGGGACAGAATCCGGCGCCCCGACCGGGACTAGAACCTGGTGTGCTGGCACCGCAAGTCGGAGGATTAGCCTAGTGAGCCGCGGCGCCGGCCAACCCATGCTATATCTTATAGAAACATGAATCTATTGCCTACTATGGCCTGGCACAGTGAACTCTATGAGGTGGATGCTATGAGTATTCTTATTTTACAGATGGCACACGCAAAGAACAAAGGCTGTCTGAGAATAGAATACAGATAAGTGAAGGGCCTGAGATTGAACCCAGATACTGTCTCTCCAGAGTGAGATGCTCTCTGTGAGTGTTAAAGCTGCTTCTCTCTTTCAGCTCTCAGATCATAAGTGACACAGGGACTGAGTCCTCAGAATTTTTCTCTTTTGAGATCAGAATTGCTTGATATGTCAGTGCACACTATGAATAAGTCAGTATATTTCAGGCAGTGACAATGCACTGCGAGATTTTTGTATGAGACTCCATCAATGCTGGCCACAGTGAAGACAAGCTGCATGGATATCTGAATTATAGTTCACAGAAATAAGCTTTGCAGACTTTGATTTGATCACATGCATCTAAATTCATGAGATAATGAGCCATGTCATGGATGCTATCTGGAGGTATTTGAAGAATGCACCTGTGAATTCTTATCTGGGAGCCTCTCCAGAAGACTGTCAGAGAAAATTGCATGCTCTCTTCTTGTTGGCCCATGTCAATACATTCAGAAATTAAAAGTTGTGAAAGCCTGATGATGTAAATGCCAGTGAACAGTAACAGACAGAGGGTATTATCCAAATGTGCATAATTGTTATGATATTTCTGAGAAATGTAAAATAATAGAATTAAACAAATTAAGAATAACACGAGGGTCTTTGAGGGTCTCCTGATCTTGCTCTGACAAGATTTTGACCTCTTTTCCGTCAAAGTTCCCTCTCATTCCCTAGCCATACTGGCCCCTTACTGTTATTCTCCTGCCTGGGGCTTTGGTCTCCTTTCCCTCTGCCGCCTGGGATCCCTGCTTCGGAAGGTCCAAAGAATTCACTCCCACACTTCTTCCAGGCGCCTGCTCGATGGCCACATAATCAGAACAGCCTTGCCTTACACCTTCAGCTGGACTGTTCCCCAACCCCAAGTCCCTCACTGCACTTTCCTTTTTTTGAGGGTGTCATAGCCTTATTATATGGCAAGTATTTGTGCTTATTTGCTTACTGTTGATTCCTACTATTAGAAATGGAGCTTCATGAGTATGGGAAAGTTTTTTGTCCACTGACATATCTTCTGCACTATAGAAGCGCTTTGAGCCCTAATAAATATTTATTGAATGAATGACGCAATGATGAAAAGAGAGGAATTATAAATGCATTTCCTTGCAGACTTGCTGAGCTTGTGTTGAGAAATGTAATAGTGACCACTGGGTGGCCACAGCTGCCTTCACCATCCACAAGGAGTCATGCTCCCTGCTGCCCACGTTGTGCCTAAGAGTTCTGCACGCTATCTTTCTTCTGGGTGGAGGGCTACATGTTGTTTCTCTTGGTTCTAATTATCCAAGGGAATTGATCCTGTAAAAGACCTCGTCAAATCCAATTTTCAGTCTACTTGGGAATCCATCCAAATCTTCTCATTGATTTACTGAACATTTACTGAGCACCTATTGTGCTTCCAGTGCTGAAGGGACAGAGATGAATGCTGTAGCATCCCTATTTCCAAGGAACTTGCTCAGGTAAACTGGAGAAGGCAAGTGAAGAGAAATTCACAATCCCTGCTGATTAACACTCTGACCTGGGAACAAGATGTAGAACATGCAGGAGGGGCACTGACCTGCCCTGAAGGGCACAGTGTGAAAGAACAGGCTTCCCAAGTGGGACAACAAAACTTGGAGCAAAACGAAGGATGAACTAGGTGGAGGTGGTGGAAGACTTTCTAGGAGAGGAAGAGCTGAGAGGAGTTGACACATTTGGAACTAAAGTGGATCATTCTGCTTGAAGAATGAAGTACAATGTACGAGAAGAGGGAGATGAAGCTGGAGAAATAGCACTTAATGTTGCAAGGAAAAAGTAAGCTAATCTCAAGCCAGTTCCAGAAATGTGTATCACTAGACATCTGAGTAGGTTTCCAAAGGGATTTGCAAGGGAACTTTAGATGACTTAGTCAACTTTTACTTATATGTGATTCAGGAAAAACTGCATTCAGTTGCAGTGTTGTTTCATTCAACTTTAATTGTACTAACTTTAATTTGAATCCTAACTATATATCAGGTATTATGTTAGGTTCCAGAGATACAAACTTAAAATAATGGCAGAATTAAGATACTTTACATGGTAATCAATTTGTTCCAGGGGGATCTAGAAATGCAGGCAATATATTGATATACTTTAGACTGACCTCATGGACATGAGGCCAGAGCCCTGTGCTGAAAAGGGCTCCACATATGGTTTAATGCTCTGTTGTTGCTGTCTTGAAATTCTTAATGATGCTTGAAAAAGGAGTCCCTCATTTTTATTTTGCACTGTCCTCTGCAAATTATGAATTTATCCTTACATCAGCAGTGAATTTGTGAAGTTCATCTGGAGTAAAAGTAAACAATGGACCAAAGGTCAACAACCCAACTCTTAGTTTTGCATGATCCATAAGCTATTAATATTTTTACATTCTATATAGTTGAAAAAAGAGTATTATTTCATAATGTGAATATTCTATGAAATTTATATTTGTGTCCATAAATACACTCTATTGGTACAGAGTCACTGCTTTTTTGTTCCTGTGTTTTCTGTGGCTGCTTTCATGTTCTATGGCATAATTGCAACAGAGACAATGTAGCCTGGAAAACCTAAAATATTTATTATCTGAAACTCACAGAGAAAGTTTGCTAACCCTGGATCTAGAGGATATTCTCTTTCAATGATTAACTTATTATTTTAAGCCAGTTTCCATTTGATGTCAGAGTTCTAATTTGTTTTCCTTTGCTGTATGGCTATAAACAACATCAACTTTGAGCTTACTATTGTATCTCTATGTTTATGGTAGTGCCAAGTACACATCAGACACTCCAAAACATTTGATGGACATTGAGTGTTGTAGTATGATTATCATGTATATCATTTTCCCCCATTATTTGTCATGTCCTCAAGGCAGTGGTTTGTGAGAGAGAACTGCATCTCCAAGGGTGCCTTGTACTGTGCTTTGAATGCAGGAATACTCTTGCTCTAAAAATGTTAGTGACAAAGAACTGAGTGTACAGTAGTACAGTGGTTGCTGTTTGGTACTACTGCTCAATTCCTTTAGAAGTAGAAAGTTTATTTGATAATTAATTATTAAAGTATGTCTAGAAGTTTTGAGATGAAAGACTGAGGATTAAAAGCAGGTTTTAATCTTAAGTCTTAAGGTGAAGAGCATGAAATACTGTCTTGTATTAACTAGAGAGCCTACTGCATTTAAGATGCTGATTTGTAGTAGACAAGCAGTATCTTGCTTGAATATTTGTAACTTCCCAATATCTTGTTTTTCAGTCCTGACTTCTAAACTAATATGTTCAGAATTATGTGACATCTCCATTGGCTGTTTAATAGAAAATTCTAACTGAACAAATCCAAAATTGAATGCTATGATGTTTTCTCCTCCAAGACCCATGTCCCTTTCAAACTTGCCTATCTCATTTACAGTATCCCATGAGTTCTGAAGGTAAAAGCCCAGGGTCATTCTTGACTTTCTCTACCACCACTGCCCCCCAATCTGGTTTATAAGCATGCTTTTTTTTTTTTTTGGCTCTACCTCTGAATGACATCCAATGTCTCCTCTACTCTCCATGTTACACACTTCCTCATTAACTCTAAACCTCCATCATATCTCCTCTGACCGCTTCCTAGCCTACCTGCATTCATTTTTTAGCCACACATTTTCTCTCCAGGTCAGGCAGAATGATCTTTATGGCTGTGTATCTATTACCTAATTTTTAGAAGTAAACAATGAAAAACTTTCCAAACTTCCTGAATGCCACAGCAATTATCTCTTTCCTCTGGGTCTTCAAAGGTAAGCCCTCCTTGATTTAGTGAATGTCATTCTTATGAATATGTTTATGTTTTTGTGTCTATTGGTAAACTGTGTATCTATATGTTAACTATGTGAGTCATAGCACAGTGTTAGAATCAAGTAGTTTTTTTTTTTTTCCACTCAGACATGATTTTGAGAATTATCAATGGGCTTCAGGTTTTAAGATTCAATACTCTAGCGTATTTCACAGTATGATAATAGCACTATTTTATTTACTCCTTTCTGTGTTTATGAACATTGAATTTGTTTTTAAGTGTTTACTAAATACTAAAAAGTATATATTGACCTTACTTATAACTCTTGTGCAAATGTGTAATAATTTCTCTAGGTCAGTGATCTACAAACACCTTTTTTTTTTACATGCAGACTTTTAATATTTTAGAGAGAGAGATTCACTCTTTGCTCCCCCAAATACCTTCAAAAGCTAGGAATTGGAAGCTAAGAAGTCAGTCCAGGTCTCCCATGTGGGTTATAGGAACTCAGTTACTTTTACCTCTGCCTCTCAGGCTCTGCATTAGTAGAAATTCTGGAATTAAGAGTCAGAGGCAGCTATTGGAATCTGATTTTTTATGTGGAACACAAATGTGCTGATTGGTGCTTTATTTGCTAGGACAAATGCATGCCTCTGCTTTGTCACATTTTCATACCCACACCCTAGGATAATGCTACTTAAAAGGCACTAAAATATTTTGGGGATAAAAGTCAATGGTTTAATATTTGAGATACAAAAATATCTTCTCTTCACTCATTAATTCAAGAAATCTATGATGAAACTATTTTGTATGGAGCATGTAATAGTGGTTGGTCCCTTGTACAATGAAGTCCCAGAGTAAAGAAAAGCAATGTAATCAGATTAATCCACGGGAGAGACTATGGTTTCAATAAGTATACAGTGATGTGGAAGCACATAAGAGATGCACCCCAGCTCTTCTCTGGGGCTGGAGGGATTTGGTAGGTCAGTGACTCTTCCTGGTGAGGATAATTCTTGACCTGAGAATTAAGTGATGATTAAGAGTTAATCCAGCAAAGAAGGCCGGCGCCGTGGCTCACTAGGCTAATCCTCTGCCTTGCAGCGCCGGCACACCGGGTTCTAGTCCCGGTCGGGGCACTGGATTCTGTCCTGGTTGCCCCTCTTCCAGGCCAGCCCTCTGCTGTGACCCGGGAGTGCAGTGGAGGATGGCCCAGGTGCTTGGGCCCTGCACCCCATGGGAGACCAGGAGAAGTACCTGGCTCCTGCCATCGGATCAGCGCGATGCGCTGGCCGCAGCGTGCTGGCCGCGGCAGCCATTGGAGGGTGAACCAATAGCAAAGGAAGACTTTTCTCTCTGTCTCTCTCTCTCACTGTCCACTCTGCCTGTCAAAAAAAAAAAAATTAAAAAAAAGAGTTAATCCAATAAAAAAGATGAACAAACAGCAAGGTGAACAAGTAGTATCTACAGCCATTATGGAAACCAGTATAGAGTTCCTCAAAAAACCCTAAAAATAGAACTAGTATCTGATCCCACATTTCTACTACTGGATATATATGCAAGGAAGTGAAATCAGTGTCAAGGAGATAGCCACACTCCTATGTTTATTTCAAAACTCTTCATAGTAGTCAAGATATGGAATCAACTGAAATGTCTACTGACAGATTAATAGCTAATGAAAATATGATTTATATACCTCATGGAATATTACTCAGCTAAAAAATAATGTCAAGTGTCAAGTTGATCCCTGGGGAAAGTGAAGTCAAGTGAAGTCATTTTATAAGTGGTCCTAGGAAAATTGACTACCATTTGGAAAATACTGAAGTTCAATGCTTTTCTCACACCATAATATAATAAAAACTAGTTTGAAATGAATTAAAATTCTTAAAATTTTCTTCAGTCTTCTAGTTAGAGCTTAGGAAATGTGTTCATAGGATAATGTAATTTTTTAGAATATATGTAGCATGAAACACTAAGTCAAAATGATAATGTTTTATACTCTATAACATTAAAATTTTCTTATCAGTAGATGAACAAGCTAGTAAGCTAGTTGGAAATATGAGAATAAACATATTTGACTTAGAATTTATGACTAAAATATACCAAGAACTCCTACAGTTAATTAAAAGACAATTCAATAAAAAGAGAGAATAGACATTTCATAAAAGAGTTCCACAAATCATCAATATGAAGTGAAACTTAAAATCACAAGAAGTTATTTCCATCTGTTGGAATAGGTAAACTCAAGATGACTGAAAGTATTAAATGTTAGAAAGAATGTGTAGTGCCTGGAACTCATAGATTGTGGTTGGAATGTAAAGTGGTTGCACCAGTTAATTAAATAGTCAATTTCTTGTAAACCTGAATGTACATGTTATGTATGAATCAGTGTGCCTTCTTTTGTTATCTGACCAAGAGAAATTAAAATATAAGGGTACTTCAAATAGTTCATGTAAAACTGGGCGTTAATTAAAAAAAAACTATTAATGGATCTGAAAATTTTTTGCACTAATACAAACTCATCTTTTAATTCCATTTTTTACCCTAAGAGCCGTTTGAAGTACCCATGAATATCTCCACAAAAGATTTGTACAGAAGTTTTATAGAAGTTTTAATAACAGGAGTGCCAACTGGAAGCATCCTCATCAGTAGGTGATTGGATAAACAAATTGTTTTCTACTCAACCAGTAAAATACTACCTGGTCTGTAAAAATGAGTACATTATTTGTTACACCTCAGGCATGTATACATTTAAAACATTATATTGTATCAAGTAAATTTGACACAAAAGGATACATAATTGTATAATTCATTTATGTCAAATTCCCAGACACATCTACAGTGATACAAATAAAGCCTCTGGTAAATAGTGAGGATTTATTGGAAAGGGAATAAGGATATTATGGAAATATTTTATAGTTTGTAACTTGCTTTGGGCTTTAATTAATGGATGTAACCATTGTTAATACTCACCAAAATAAGCACTTAAATTTCATACATTTTAATGTAGTTTATTATGGGCACATTATATCTCAAGA